TTTGCTATGGCCACCACTACCTGGGGGGTACCCAACAAATTTCCACATTGGCTGTCATTAAGTCCAAACCCTCACCCTCTTATATAACATTTTTGGGAGAAAAGGTGACCTTTCTATTCCAGCTCTAAAGGAAATGACTGTCCCTTTCAGTACCCCCACCCCCACCCCCACCCCACACCCCTACCCCTACCCCTAATCACTTACCTGTCTGTTTTCATTGGTAACAGTGATCTCTGCTCCATTTTCCTTCAGCTCCTTGGTAAGTGACTGGCCAAACATGTCTGTGTATCCAATTGTGAAGTTACATATCATCTCACTCTCCACATCACCTTCATAATCCAGCAGATCTTGAAGGCCACTTGCAAGACTCTGTAGAGCACACATTTAAATTTGATCACACATGGTGATGACACTATCCAAACTAAACTTCAAATGGTGACTGGTGAAGAAATTAAACCCTTTTCATCCCAAATCAAATCTCTTGGTCGTGGTTCTAAATGTCTATTCCATGGTTTAAGCCCTACACATAGTATGTACAGCCATTCAAATGAGGGCTGCTGAATAGCACTTTCATGTAAAACTGTTTTTTATGTTGGATGAAACCCTACTGTGCGACCATTCAAATGAAAGCTACTGTGCAATACATTCATGTAATGCTGCTAGTTATGCTGTGCAAGGTAGATCTACAACAATTAATGTAACTTTATAGTACGTGGAAGAAATCCCACCATGTGATCATTCAAATATGAAGTACTTTTATATGTTACTGTTTGATATGTTGCCCAGGGTATTGTAACTTTCAGGTCTGAGAATGAAAGTACTGTGTGTGGCTATTCAAATAAAAGCTATTGAGCAGTACTTTGTGTTGTACTGTGCATCTTTTGATAATTTTCCAAAATAACATCAGAATTTTTTACTTCATTGTTGAAAGGTAGACAATGTGCTTATTGACTTCAGGAAAGAAGGGGAAAGGCAGGAAATCCTTTGGTTCTATGTGATAACATGCACATGTGAAGACCAAGATTCACGTACCACAGACTAAACCAAGCAACTTACAGAATGTGAATCCTTGAGGTCTTCAAATGTTCCTTTCTTGCCAAACAATTTTCTGTACACAACCATTGGAAAATGCACATCTAGAATGACATTGTTGTAGATGGCCAAGCCAAGAACCAGACCAATCAAGAAGAACTGTCCGTCTGTCTCAAAAGAGTTTAGATTGAACCAGCAGTAACGAGTGGCTTCATCAAAAGTAAACATCCCTGGAAAACAAAGTGGACAGAAATCTTCCAACAAAAGTTTCTAGTTAATGATAACTGTTTTAAGTTACATTTCCTGGGAGACTGTTTCCCCAAGAGAAAAGCATGGTTACACAGTTAACAAAAAGAAAACATTATCCATGTCTCTATGAAATTGTAGAAACATGAGAGGAAGTCTGGGAGAATGAAAACTGTGGAGTCATTAACTAAATGGTTCATGTTTGCAAAGCAGCTTGGCAAACATGAGCCATGTATGTGAATGTTTCAACAGCTTTTTCAGGCTCTTCCAACTTTTTCATGAATGTTTCAAAACAGACAAACATGGAGTTTGATAGGAACACAAAGTAAACGTTTTCTGTTTTGTTTAGAAAATACACTGTACTGAGAGGAAAGAAAACTAAGGAAAATTGCTCATTTACTACATTTATCAAAAGTAAATTATCTCTGATTACTGGTATGATCATTATGTCAACAGTTCACACCAGTTGTGTACTTCTATAGAGCTACAGAAATACATGTAATATATCAAACACGAAAGACCATGTTTGACCACATTTTTTAACATTGAGAAGAGAGTTGACAATACAACACGAAGTGGAATATTTTTGACGAACTTCAAGGTGTGTGGAAATGTGGTCAAACACAGTCTCTTGTGTTTTATATATCTTCTCAGTCAAAACTAAAACCAAAGAGAAAATGAAAAAATAAAAAGGTAACTCTCTATGCTAATTATGATGAGATATACAAACCAGGGGTACTGGGCTCTGAAAACAATTTTGCCCACCTGGTTTGACCATCTATAGGCAAGTTTTCTTACAAACAAGTTCAGTTCAAAACGTTTTGGCTGCCTGTGCCCAGTTGCCCTCCGGCTGAAAATGTTAATGAAACCCTGTTAATGAAACACCATCAGGGTCCTGATTTCCTGTGTCTAAACTTGATGAATTATTAATGAGTTTGAGAACTTTCAGCCACACACTTTCTTATAGGATGTTTTACAACTGAGTTTGTAAACTTAGGAGGCATTTATTAACAGAAGTATCAGAAAAAAATATGATATTCACCATAATCAGGGTTGAATATTTCCTCCACAATCAGTTGAAAGAACTCCTTGGACACACCCCCTTCATCAATTCCCTGCTCTCCTTCAAACTCAACATAGAGCTGCTTCTTGAGATCTGCTGGATTATCTTGTGAAGTCATCTCCAGCTGGTTACACAAACAATATTTACATGTGTATAGGATACAAAGTGATGTAGGTAAGGCAAACAACTGGGAGGAGTTAACTACTACTGTAGCCATAATGAATCCGAAAAGCTCAAAGAGGGCTTTCCAAATTCAATGTGGTGGTTACTTTAACTTTAATTTTGAAATTTAGATGCTTGCAAATGCTATTTTCAGGGTTTTCCAGTCAAAATTTGTGCCTAAAGAACAATCAAACCTATGACTATATTAACCATGTTTTACGTTGAACAACCATTCTTTTACTCAACGGTCTCAATCAGAAAATCTTTCCTACTTATTATTGTTACACGATATATGCTCTCCTCACTTGACTGAGTGAAATACAATAACATACTCAGCATTGACTACCTCAACATTTTGGCGGGGATGCTAGTTTGGCAAATGTGGAAGCGTGAGATCCAGTTCTGTGAAAAATGTCTCAGGCGTTGCATGACCTTTTGATCCCGCTTCCATTGTACACGGGAAAGGTCAACATGCTTGAAACTCTTGAAATGTATGCTCACTTTGACTCAGATGTTTAAGAAGGAAGCCTTACAAAACTTTCTGGGATCTTTTCATTTTTTAAAGTTTCTTGTCAAAGTTAATGGTTAAGTGAGATGAAAGTAGATGGCCAAAGATTTGCTAGTAGCAAGCTGCTATGGATGGCTACTGGCCGCAATTGACAGCCCTGCAGACAAACTGTGTTCTGCCCATTTGGCGTTAATGTTAAAGAAATTTGAAGGTACACACAACAATACTTACATTGACAAGAGCATCTTCAATTAGGTGATCTCGACGAACTTTGAGTCTGAGGTATGGCGTTGCATGTTGGCCCCTCACAAGACTGTACAGTAAAGTCAGCCGTCTCTCACTGTACATGCGCACACGATTGTCGTAAAACAAGCCCATGCTCTTGGTAGCAGTTGAAAGGATGAAGTTGTACTTCAGGAAAGAAAACTTGCCCTGTGAATCATTCTTAAAGTAGGTAAAGTCGCGGTCAACCTCTATTTGCTCATTTAATGGATCATTAACAAATTCTTCACATTTAACTAGTGGCTTGCGGCAATCTAACATATCAATTTTCAATTCCTTAACGAGAGGGTCATCATGATCGCTGCTTGCCGTAGCTCCATCATGGTTGTCGTTCAATGTTTGATCAAAATTTCCTCCTAATATACTAGCGTAATAAAGCATTTTCATAGTTTTCGTTGCAGCCACAATTGCTTCATCCTCTTGCACTGGCATGTTTCCTGTGGCACTAGGTCCTGTTAAGACTTGGTACGTAATCAGTTGCTGAAGAGTTTCAACCATGCACCTGATTTCCTTACTTGAAAACTGCGACCAGATATGGACTAAAGTTGCTTGGAATTTTACTGGGAGTAACGCCACAGCTTTGAGAAAACTAGGCAACGCCTGGTCTAAATATTCCGGACTCTGTAGCATCGTGTTTTCCATGATAATCACAAATTGATTCAAAAAGTTAGGATCATTGCTTGGTGCTTTGTATCGAAGTTCCATTTCAAGAGTTGGTGCTAAGGCAACCAGGGAGTTTATTAATGAATTCTCCACCGAGGAATCCCCTGTCTTGAACAGAGCAGAATACATGTTTCGTACAGCTTCAATGTCAACATTGGTTCCCATGTTCTGTTTGCCAGACGAGTCTAACAAGAAACTTTTGTTCAGTGATTCAGAACTAGAAAACACCACACCGATGTTGTGCACAAGTTTCTTGTAGTTTCCCTCTTCCTGGCATGAATTCAGGTTGGACAGGAATGATTTTTCTGTGAGAAATGGGACCTCTTTGGCTGGGACTAAAATAAAGAAACATGTTCAGTCTACTTGAAAAAGAAATTTGGCCACTAAGTTGTAAGATTAACATTCAAAGGACAATTATAACTATTTCTATAGAAACATGAATTACCAGTTAGTGAATACACATAGCACTGGAAAAATAAGTGGCCCCTTAGGAGAGCTTTAGCCATAATTTTTCACACAGTTTTCACCAATGTTATCTCAATTACCATAATGGGGAAGCGTAATACAATCATGCTTTCTCTTTGGGTCTCCTCGCTATATCCTATCACGTAAATATCTTCTTTAAACTGATTTTTCCCTTGTTTTATGTGTTTACATAAACAAATGACATGGAGAAAATACAATCTGCGGTGAGATTTGATGGGGAAGTCACACATGCAACTGCACAAGACTGCACAGTGTGTTATTTGCTGTACAAGTATATATGTACCTTTGTGATTTTTTTCTTGCAGCGGTTCACAAAGGCGAGCCTTCTTCATGAAAAGCTGCAATGCTAATGCTGCAGCATCGTCCTTTGAGGTTTGCTTTCTCCCGCTAGATGCACAGTATTCATTGCTACAACCCTGCACTCCACAGCCATCTGTCAGCTGGAAAAAATAGTTCTTGATTTTTTGTTCCGCTGCCCGTTTCCTGTATAAATAGATGAATAAAAATAATACAGAATAGCTTAAGTATTCTGGTCATTGTTCCCAAAATTGTTTTCTGCAGCTGCATTTTCAGAGGAAGCCAAACCTGATTTACTCTTACTATGTTCTTAAGTTGATTGCACATAAGCTGATAAAGAGAATCAGAAACTCTGAGTGGGAGCAGGCTTTTTAATGTGGCTAAATAATTTAGGCTAAGTTAAACGCAAAACAAGATTGCTGGCGGGCAGCTCCCTCAGAGTGGGTACAGAGGATTTGTGCCTGGGTGCCTGAATTTTATAGTTCGGCTTCGGATGTCCGTCATTCTGTGTGTTTTTCACTGCTGGACAGATCTTGCTAAGCTTTTCTCCCAGCCCACCCATGCCCCTTTGGGTTCATGGTAAGTACGTCAGTAAGTATCCTGTGTTTCCACTGTTTTTTCAGTGTGGCAGTGCCCGGTGGTTGCCGCTCAGTTTATTTTGCTTTCGGGCTCTACTATCCTTTCAGGCACCATTCCCCCAATTTCCTGCAGATGACCTGCCAGATGGATATCCAGGCATCCTGTGGATGCCCACTTCTAAAAGAAAATTGTTTTATTTTTTACATAATTTATAATTTACTTTATAATTTGTTCATTTGGACAGACACTAGATAGAACATTTTGGATGCTAAAGGCTTAAGGCTTGAGTGGGAGTAAGTGCAAAATATCTCCCAACTCCCCTTCCCTCCCCATTAAACTTTGACCCAGCAAGTGTGGCTATGGGGTTTTGCAATCAGGCACCCCCCTCCCCACTGATCCTTTATAGTACATACAAATGTCTACTTGTAAATTGTGTGTTTGCTTTTATTACCGCTTCTATGACAACTAATTAACTTACTTGTTGAAGAAAGTTAACTACGCAAATATTACACCTTATTTGCACTTGACTGAGTGACTTGGTATAAAAAAATAATGATTATATATGTGAGCTTAATATTTTTCTTTCCGAGTTGCATATCCAGTAACCATGTCCTATTCTACACCTCTGGGTCAATTTTGGAATCTTCTTTTTAAAAGCCTCTAAGCTGCTGCATAGAAGAAACATTTCTCAGCACTGTGTAACTTACAAGCATAAGCTTAAGTGTAAAACAAACAAGCAGCTCCAAAAACGAAATCCTCAAATTTAATGGATTCGTCATATGATAGAAGACATTTCAAACGTTTAGTTGCCAAGACGATAATGGAGGTTTGTGGAAGCTGCAGGTGAAAGGAAATCGTCTCGAGAGACTCAACTTGAGCGGAAAAAGGCGCCAACAAAGATAGAATAACAACCGATTCTTCGAGCTTGTCAGGGGTGTTAGAATCAACCGCGTGTCAAATTAAGATAATTCAGATCAATCGAACCCTTGTATAAAAGTTGTCACTTATATATAATATGCACAAATAGGTACTACTTACATGTCCACACTGTCATCACCATCAGTATCTTGGGTACAATTCCTTTAGAGTAGAATAAAATAATGAAAGCGACTTCAGTGCTTCAAAACTAACACGCAAATATTAGAAATCGACAGCAAACACCTCGGAATCGACCGGCTAAAAATGGCATTGTCGCAAACATGCGCGCTTGAATCAGTTTACCTGGACTCGTTGCGGCCGTCCTTACCATCCGATGAGCAATTTTTTTTGTTCGACATAAAGACTATTTCGCGGTGAAGTGAAATTTTGCTAGTTTGACAACGATAACGAGCATAAAAGTTTAATTCTTCTTCCAGGAAACTCGTCCATGATTATTCTTCAAGTCATGTGTGCTCCATGACTCAGCCAGTGTGGGGTTCTGGGAACTCATTAGGCTCCGAGAGCCTGGGACGAGAACATGACGAAAATTTTACACACCACACATGCAATAACTTCCATCTTTCGGGAATTCTATTTTAAAACAATAAGTGTAGTTTCATTAGTTAAATTTAGCGTCTTTCGAGTCATTTGTCGTATATAAGTATCGGCCTTTGGGACTAGATGACTTTATATCCAAGGAAGTTTAAAGAAACGACAGAAAACCGAGGAAAATTACGAAAGAAAAAGAGATAGCAATCGTCGACAACTTTTGACGTGGTTCCTGTGTTGTTATTTATTTTTTTTTACACGATAAACGTCATAGTCTTACTTGATACACTGGTGGGCGAAGTAAGAAGAAAGTAGGATGGGAAAGCCGAAGAAAGGAGGCAAAAAGAAAGACGTGGATTGGTAAGTATGGTCTTTCTCCAATATTGCACATGTCACGTGTTTAATGGTGATCATTTTAATTGATATGATTAATAGCCATTAACACTGACTTATTCTAGAGCAATTTCCAAACATTTACAAGGAAAAGGAAAACAGAACAAACCAGACATCTGTGAAAGATCATAGATGACTTCAACAATTAATCAGAGAAAATCAATGCAGATAATTTTTTGCATAATTTTTCTGTTGCATCATTGGTCATAATATTAGTCACATGGTACACATGTACAGCTATATTGGATTGGTAATGCTCAGGGAGATATGGGAGCTTAATTACTTGCATGATGAACTGTGATATGAACGGTCTAACTTCAAGAACTGACAAGGTTCTTGAGGGTTGACAAATGATAAAATTTGAAACTTTGCGAGACAGCGAGACTCTTCTCCAGCATTCCGTGGTATCCATTTGTAATGTAAGATAAAGTCACAGTGAAAATGATACTTTAAAATGTACACATCCTCACTGAATTTTAGCCAACTTTCACAGATCTCGCTGTCTCTGTTATCTTACAATGTGCTGTCGGAATCTTGATTTTTTTTGTGAGGGTTAAGAAAGTCTCGGGCTTACAGAAAATACAGTTCAACCTCTATTTAACAGCCACCCTTGAGGAAATGGATAGTGGCAGCTTAATAGAGGTAAAAACAATAGAAAAAACCTCATCGGTGCTTTCAATTGATTACTGGCTGCCTAATAGGGGTGGCCATTTAATAGGTGGCCACTTAATAGGGGTTTGACTGTATGTGAATGTGGAGTTGGGTTGACCTGGGGTGAACTAGTATGCCATCCAGGAGAAGAAGCCAGGTTCTCATCTATCTAGTGTGATCCATGCTACAGTGGACCAGATTAAGTTAAGTGCATGTGTTTAGAACCTACTGGACCTTAGTTCAAGAAAACCCATTTATGTCCAGGATTGAACACAAGTATTGTTTAATTAGTTCTTCATGTTTGGCAGGGTTATTTGACATTTTCATATTACTTCATATTTAACAGAATTGTGTGTGTTTGGTGACTTTTTATTAATGAGGACACTTTGTGATGCTTATCATAAGGAATTTGAATCTCATTAGTGTTCAATATGGGACATATCTGAGAAAACCATGCAATACTCTAGACCGGTGAAAACCATCTAAAGGTTAACCCAGCCCAGCCAATCAATGAATAGAATATAAAAGCACTACATCAAAGAACAACTACTGGTAACTGTATTTGATTGTGGGATTGCAAACTTGAGTACCACTCACCATATTATTCAAAATAGCTCTTGACTAATAGATGAGATGGATTGATGATCAATTCAGACAAAGATAAAGACTTTTCTTAGTTGAGACTCTTGTGTAGTACATGTTCACGAATGTTTATGTACACACTCTTGTGATTACTGTTCAATACATACTCTGTATCAGTCACAAAATAATGCTGTTACTGTTAGTATCACTTTAATTAATGTCTTGTTTAAATGTAGTATTTTTTCACTGTGCCCTTCCTGGAGGTTTTTCGAAAGGCATTATTGATGTAAAATAACCACACTGTCTTGTCTTTGCAACTCTCAGGGAGGACGATGTTTTGAATGATCTTGAGTCATTGAAAGATGGTGAACCAGACAAAGAAAATGCTACAAGTGAATCTAAGGTGAGAAATTATATAAGGTTGTTCAATCTACAGTAGATCAGTACAGTCATTAGTTTGACTAGATGAAACTTTAGTGTTTAAACTTGGAAAACAAAATGGAACTTGTAGTATCAGACAATGCATGCTCTATGCAGTCTAATTTGCATGATGAGACATACTTGAAGTGGAATAAAGCCCTAAGTGACTTTTGGAAAATGTTAAGGTAGCCAGCGTTGAAACACCTCCTAGCAATTTTCACAGTTTACTTTTGTCTTCATTATTGTCCAACAAGAACTAATAGTAATAACTAGTTCTTTTGAGACAATAACTTAAACCAGAGTAAACTGTGAAAATTGCTAGGAGGTCTTTCAATCCTGGCTGCCTCAAAGTTTTCCAAAAATCACTTAGGACTTTATTCAACATGCTCCTTCATTTGCAGGGCAGGAAAAACCCAGGTCCAATTGCCTGGGGCAAGTAAATTTTGTTCTTGGCCAAGTGAAAATAGAGGTTCAGTGGCCCAGTGGGCAAGCAAAATTAGCCTCAAAAGTTTTGTGCGTCTGAATAAAAATGTTACCTAGGTATATGATAATTTCCAGTCAAAAGCTGTTTCAAAACTTGAGACTGCAAGATAAGTTAACCATTGAGTTGAAAGCATGGATTAGTTAGGAATCCAAGCATACTCTGTTCGCATTTGTCCTGTGATTACTATACTGGTCACCACATTGGCAAGTAGCATTTTAATAGGGGCAAGTGAAAACTGAAATTTACTGATTTGAACATTATATTTTGTTTACATTATAATTTCAAATAGGGTGGTGGCGGAAGATTTCAAGGTCTTGATATCGAAGATGATGGCCCACCAGAAAATGATGATGATGACGACTTAGCGAAAACGGTTACAAATACAAAGAAGAACAAGACAGACAAGAAAAAGAAACAAGCTGAAACTGCTTCAGAAACAACAGAAACAGTTGAAACTGATAGAACTGCTGCCAATAATGATCACAAAAATGGAGATAATGCCTTAGAAACAAATGATAATAATGCTTTAGATGAACCTCATGTCTCAACTGCAAAAAAATCCAAAAAGAAGAAGAAAGATAAGAAAGATTTTGACTTTGATTTTGAGGATGACTCTGGAGATGAAAAAGTAAAGCCAGCTAAAACGCCAGACAGTGCAGCAAAGAAACTTGAAGAAGTGCCAGATGAATCAGATACTATAATCAAAACAGCGGCACAGAAACGTGCTGAAAAGAAAGAGAGGGAAAAAAAGAAAAAAGAAGCTGAGAAAGCCAAGGCAAAATCTAAAGTTAAGAAGGATGAAAACGAAATAGACACCAAGGTAGATGACAAGACAGAAGGAGCATCAAATATTGATACAGAATTACCTGCAGATAAAGAACAAGAGGATGTTGTGGCACCAAGCCTATCAGGTAAATGATAATCACACATTTGTGACATTACAGAGTCTCAATGTTACATCTCAAGATCAGAGTGTGAATTCTCTACAGGTATACAAATTGCCATTATTTCCTCAAATGTTTTTTCTTTCTTTCTCAGGATATAGTACTTTAGAGTAGTTCATTTGTTTTTGTTAAAACATGTTTTTTTTTTCTTTTAAAGAATTTTCAAGGCAGTGTTGAGTGTTAGTCTTCTATTTTCATTACTATGCAATCCATTGATTGAATGAAGGAAAATCACATTCAAGCCAAGAACTAGTTACATTATAATTATATAGTACTCTGTCATATACAGGAAGTTAAAAATTTAAACACAACTTATTCAAATAATGATCAATAAAATACCTCTCTCTTGACTCTGACTGTACAGTTTACAGTAGCCAAACTGTTCAATTAAATGCCAAAAGCGTAATTTGTTACAATTTGAGCACATTTAAATAACGATGCAGTGATTCATCCTCGTGCTTTTTCAACTTGATTGTGCAAGCATAAACAATTTTAGAAACTTAAATACCCAGCCTTGCACTTACTGTCAAAGGAGATGTAGGTGACGTTGATGCTGACAAGCCTGCTGCAGATAACCTTGATGGCAAAGGTGAAGAACAGGATGGTGAGGAGGATGGAGAAGACAAAGACAAAGAAAAAAAGAAAAAGAAGAAGAAGAAAAAGGGAGAGAAAGAAGAGAAGAAGGTCAAGAAACCCAATAAAGCTTTAGTGAAACAGATGCAGCAGCAACTTGAACAGCTGAAGCTAGAAGAAGAAAGAAGGAGGCAAGAAGAGGAAGAAAAACAGAGAGCTTTAGAGGAGGCAGAGAACAGGAGACTTGAGAAGGTACATGTATTAAATTATTGGTTGGTGTTGGGTGGATTTTTGCCAACTGCCAGGGACTGGAAAACTCTGGTGAATTTAGTGTACATATACATGTNAGTGGACCAGATTAAGTTAAGTGCATGTGTTTAGAACCTACTGGACCTTAGTTCAAGAAAACCCATTTATGTCCAGGATTGAACACAAGTATTGTTTAATTAGTTCTTCATGTTTGGCAGGGTTATTTGACATTTTCATATTACTTCATATTTAACAGAATTGTGTGTGTTTGGTGACTTTTTATTAATGAGGACACTTTGTGATGCTTATCATAAGGAATTTGAATCTCATTAGTGTTCAATATGGGACATATCTGAGAAAACCATGCAATACTCTAGACCGGTGAAAACCATCTAAAGGTTAACCCAGCCCAGCCAATCAATGAATAGAATATAAAAGCACTACATCAAAGAACAACTACTGGTAACTGTATTTGATTGTGGGATTGCAAACTTGAGTACCACTCACCATATTATTCAAAATAGCTCTTGACTAATAGATGAGATGGATTGATGATCAATTCAGACAAAGATAAAGACTTTTCTTAGTTGAGACTCTTGTGTAGTACATGTTCACGAATGTTTATGTACACACTCTTGTGATTACTGTTCAATACATACTCTGTATCAGTCACAAAATAATGCTGTTACTGTTAGTATCACTTTAATTAATGTCTTGTTTAAATGTAGTATTTTTTCACTGTGCCCTTCCTGGAGGTTTTTCGAAAGGCATTATTGATGTAAAATAACCACACTGTCTTGTCTTTGCAACTCTCAGGGAGGACGATGTTTTGAATGATCTTGAGTCATTGAAAGATGGTGAACCAGACAAAGAAAATGCTACAAGTGAATCTAAGGTGAGAAATTATATAAGGTTGTTCAATCTACAGTAGATCAGTACAGTCATTAGTTTGACTAGATGAAACTTTAGTGTTTAAACTTGGAAAACAAAATGGAACTTGTAGTATCAGACAATGCATGCTCTATGCAGTCTAATTTGCATGATGAGACATACTTGAAGTGGAATAAAGCCCTAAGTGACTTTTGGAAAATGTTAAGGTAGCCAGCGTTGAAACACCTCCTAGCAATTTTCACAGTTTACTTTTGTCTTCATTATTGTCCAACAAGAACTAATAGTAATAACTAGTTCTTTTGAGACAATAACTTAAACCAGAGTAAACTGTGAAAATTGCTAGGAGGTCTTTCAATCCTGGCTGCCTCAAAGTTTTCCAAAAATCACTTAGGACTTTATTCAACATGCTCCTTCATTTGCAGGGCAGGAAAAACCCAGGTCCAATTGCCTGGGGCAAGTAAATTTTGTTCTTGGCCAAGTGAAAATAGAGGTTCAGTGGCCCAGTGGGCAAGCAAAATTAGCCTCAAAAGTTTTGTGCGTCTGAATAAAAATGTTACCTAGGTATATGATAATTTCCAGTCAAAAGCTGTTTCAAAACTTGAGACTGCAAGATAAGTTAACCATTGAGTTGAAAGCATGGATTAGTTAGGAATCCAAGCATACTCTGTTCGCATTTGTCCTGTGATTACTATACTGGTCACCACATTGGCAAGTAGCATTTTAATAGGGGCAAGTGAAAACTGAAATTTACTGATTTGAACATTATATTTTGTTTACATTGTAATTTCAAATAGGGTGGTGGCGGAAGATTTCAAGGTCTTGATATCGAAGATGATGGCCCACCAGAAAATGATGATGATGACGACTTAGCGAAAACGGTTACAAATACAAAGAAGAACAAGACAGACAAGAAAAAGAAACAAGCTGAAACTGCTTCAGAAACAACAGAAACAGTTGAAACTGATAGAACTGCTGCCAATAATGATCACAAAAATGGAGATAATGCCTTAGAAACAAATGATAATAATGCTTTAGATGAACCTCATGTCTCAACTGCAAAAAAATCCAAAAAGAAGAAGAAAGACAAGAAAGATTTTGACTTTGATTTTGAGGATGACTCTGGAGATGAAAAAGTAAAGCCAGCTAAAACGCCAGACAGTGCAGCAAAGAAACTTGAAGAAGTGCCAGATGAATCAGATACTATAATCAAAACAGCGGCACAGAAACGTGCTGAAAAGAAAGAGAGGGAAAAAAAGAAAAAAGAAGCTGAGAAAGCAAAGGCAAAATCTAAAGTTAAGAAGGATGAAAACAAAATAGACACCAAGGTAGATGACAAGACAGAAGGAGCATCAAATATTGATACAGAATTACCAGCAGATAAAGAACAAGAGGATGTTGAGGCACCAAGCCTATCAGGTAAATGATAATCACACATTTGTGACATTACAGAGTCTCAATGTTACATCTCAAGATCAGAGTGTGAATTCTCTACAGGTATACAAATTGCCATTATTTCCTCAAATGTTTTTTCTTTCTTTCTCAGGATATAGTACTTTAGAGTAGTTCATTTGTTTTTGTTAAAACATGTTTTTTTTTTCTTTTAAAGAATTTTCAAGGCAGTGTTGAGTTTTAGTCTTCTATTTTCATTACTATGCAATCCATTGATTGAATGAAGGAAAATCACATTCAAGCCAAGAACTAGTTACATTATAATTATATAGTACTCTGTCATATACAGGAAGTTAAAAATTTAAACACAACTTATTCAAATAATGATCAATAAAATACCTCTCTCTTGACTCTGACTGTACAGTTTACAGTAGCCAAACTGTTCAATTAAATGCCAAAAGCATAATTTGTTACAATTTGAGCACATTTAAATAACGATGCAGTGATTCATCCTCGTGCTTTTTCAACTTGATTGTGCAAGCATAAACAATTTTAGAAACTTAAATACCCAGCCTTGCACTTACTGTCAAAGGAGATGTAGGTGACGTTGATGCTGACAAGCCTGCTGCAGATAACCTTGATGGCAAAGGTGAAGAACAGGATGGTGAGGAGGATGGAGAAGACAAAGACAAAGAAAAAAAGAAAAAGAAGAAGAAGAAAAAGGGAGAGAAAGAAGAGAAGAAGGTCAAGAAACCCAATAAAGCTTTAGTGAAACAGATGCAGCAGCAACTTGAACAGCTGAAGCTAGAAGAAGAAAGAAGGAGGCAAGAAGAGGAAGAAAAACAGAGAGCTTTAGAGGAGGCAGAGAACAGGAGACTTGAGAAGGTACATGTATTAAATTATTGGTTGGTGTTGGGTGGATTTTTGCCAACTGCCAGGGACTGGAAAACTCTGGTGAATTTAGTGTACATATACATGTATCCTGTGAATAAATTGCAAGTATCGAGAGAGCAATTTTGTTTTGATTGTAAGTTACTAAATACTTTATTGCAGTTGAGACTTGAACAGGAAAGAAAGGAGAAGAAAAAGCAGAAAGAAAAGGTATGTGAATGTAGGAATCCTTTAATTACCATTGGTGATCCACATTTACTTTCTCATCATGCTATCCAGGGGTTTCATTAAGGGCTGGGTGCCAGGCAAATTGACCAGGTCTGAGGACAATTTGCCTGCCTGGTTTGAACATCTAGTGGAAAGTTTTACTTATAAAGAGGTTCAGGTCAAATAGTTTTGCCCGCCTGTGAAAACCAGTTGTCCTCCTGCTGAAAACATAAGTGAAACCTCTGACTATCAAAACAGTGTTAAACATATTAGTGGTGAGAATAGAGATACAAATCAACTAAGGAACATTAGTAAGTTAATATTGCAAAATGTGGAACAATCAGACTTGTGAAGCTGGCTCTTGGATTCTGTGTATCCAATACAGTCAGATATAAAGTCAGACTGTCTGCTGTAAAACATTTTTAATAATTTATTGTTCACAAAGGCATACAATAACCAGCTATTTCCAGTTCTCAATTTGAAAGACCACGTTTGATCCCATTTCCAAGCACCAAGAAGAGAGTTGAAAATAAGACAAGCAGCAGAGTATTTTTGATGAACTTCGAGGTGTGTGGAGATGTGGTCAAACACTGTCTTTGAGTGTTTGATATACCTTCTCAATCAAAAATAAAGCTAAGGAGAAAACAGAGAAATTAAATCGTAAAAATCTATGCTAATTAAGATCAAATATCCAAACACCCCCACAGTCATGATTTCCTTTGTTTACACTTGAAGAATAACTGAGTTTGAGAAATTTATTTGACAATAACGTTTAATGTTTTTACACTGTGGAAATGGTAACCTTTTACATTATATGAATAGCCCTCGTTCTATAAACACCAGAACAGTGTAATAAAAAATGTCAGGAGTTCATGTTGCTGTAAAGTAACACAACTCTGGGCAACACAGCACCCTGATGGTCAGCGTATTTAAGTCTGAATCTAGCAGCCTGAGTGAAGCACCTGCCAGTCTCCTGTATGGACTTACATGTACAGAGTATTTCCATCAAATGAATGTGTGTTTTTAGGAAAGGAAAGAGAGACTTAAGAAGGAAGGGAAGTTCCTCACCAAGACTCAAAAGCAACAGAGAGCACAGGCTCAAGCAATGTTGGATTCTATGAAAAAGCAAGGTATGAATTGTGATAGTGCAAGAAATGCACTATCACAATTTTTTTGTGTAACCAGGTGGAAACACCACATATTAGTGAATGCCAATCAAAACTATGGTCCTGTGGAAATGTTGGGAAAAAAAGCATGCATGAATTTCAAGGAAATTGTATCTTTGTAGGTTTGATAGACATCCCTGCACTTAATCAGCAAGAACAAGATGGAGTAAGAAGGCCAGTCAGATATGGTACCAAGAAACCCAAGAAACAACAACAACAGCAACAACAACAACAACAACAAGATCAGGAAGAAACTGAGCAACCAGATGGTTCTACTGAAGATCAAGGTAAAAAAAATAAACATTTGATCTTAATTATCTTGTTCTGTAGGCTGCTTCTTGTGTGTTAAAGAGATCTATTATAATAAACAGGTTAAAATAAAGTTCAAAAAGAAAGGGCTTGGGTTTACAGTCTGTTCCAGTTGTGCTAACCTTGTAGGTTTTCAGTTTAAGATGAGTGTCAAGTCAAAATGATACTTTCAAACTAGTTTGCTTTGAGGCATAGTTTTCTTTTGTTGAGATTTGTTACCATCCTAATTGAACCATAAAATAATATAAATCAAACTATGTTGAATTTTTTTTAAAACTAAATTCATTATAAACTTGAGATAATATATACTAAGCAAAATTGTGCAGGCCTATTTTCACATTTTGCTGTAAATGTGGCTATTAATAGTATCATTGCCATTTCTGAATTTGTCTTGTCTAATTCATTTAACAGTCACTACTTCTGAAGGCACAATTGCTGAAGAAGATGATAAGAAATCTGATGGTAACTAGTAACCTTTATAGTTTGTTGTGTTGAAAATCAATGATTCTTTCACCAGTCGCTCCACAGTTACTTAGTTCAGGTTTCTTAGAGAGGCAACCAGTATCTTTTCTTTGATAACATGTAGTTTCTGCTACAGATCAGCAGGACACTGACAATGTAGAAACTGAAGAACAAGAGGAGGACAAGGATGACGAGGCTGAAGAAGAGGATGAGGTATTTTTCAGTGGCACAGCTAAAAATCCTGTGAATTTTAACAATAACAATGCACACACACTTTACCACCCAAATAGAAAAAACTCTTGGAATTTAACTGTTGAAAGAGCAGCATGATTGTTAGAAATAATAGTGCCCCAGTTTGAATAGAACATTGCTCATTTAACCTTCATAACAAGTCAAACCCTTGAGTTGTGAGGTTCTGTTAGGATTTTTCAAGATGTGGGATATTTAGGTAACAAATCGATGAGATTAGGAGATTTTGTTTAGAGGGGGGAGTACTGGGATATTTTGAACAGATATCCCAAGATATTGAGTAGAGAAAGTTGTTTATTTCTCTAATGTACAGGAAATTTTGGCCCCAAGTTAATGGGATACTCAGACCCCTGCCCCACCCGTAGTGGGCCCCAATGGGGCCTCAGTTGTAAGCAATTCAGATATATAGAATTTCCCTTAGTCTTTTTACAGTATTGACTTTTTGGTTTTCACATTACCTTTGTGAAAGTCAGAAAAAGTGCAAGTGGCTGTATTTTGCAGCCACAGTTTAAGTATGATTACCACATTGGACAATCATACAGTAGCTCGATTTCATTAAAGAATCAGTGCTGCATGCATTAAAAGTTGCTATTGACACATCAGTGGAAAGGTGAATCAAACAACTAAACTGTTTGTAGGTCAAGGACTCTTGGGACGTTGATTCTGATGAAGAACTTGAAGATAAAACAACTGTTAAAGGTGTGCTACATGCGTCTAATAATATTATTGTACAGTAATACCTTGGACTTATGTTAAAAAATACTGAAAAAGAGAATTGGTAACACACCTCCAGAGTTGACAAGTATATTAGGTTCCTGTCGTCTTTTGGTCATTTTCTTTAACTTTCCTACATGACAGACAATGTGCACTATGGGCATGTGAGGCTTGCGCGCTTCACACGCGAGGATCATGCTTACAGTGCTTTGCTCCTTCCGAAAACGTCCAAAAACGACTGTTTTGCAGTCTAACAATAAATAGGTATTTATTCCGTATTTGTTTTATTTACTGCCACTTTATATCTGTTGGAGATTACTTTTAGATAGGTGCTTATATTAGGATTTTTTAAGTACAGTATAAAAATTTTTGTAGTTTTCATGTGAGTGAAAGCACTTTTCCCCACAGGTTCTGATGCTAAAACACCAGCTACAGTTAAGGTATAAATACATTACACTGTGATTTCTTTTCTTGTTAAGAATTTGGACTGCTGTCCTCTAACAGGGTCCGTGTAGTTTCTCATGAGTGCAATATTGTAGTATGTACAATATTCTATATGTACAAGATTTGTGGAGGCAGTATGGTCTAATGGTTAAGGGTGCTGGATTTGTGATCTGGAGGTCCTGAGTTCAAATCCTCCTCCCTGTTACTGGATGGATTTGTGTTTGGTGGTCCCAAATTCAACTCCTTCATGCTTTGTAAATAGCCAGCTGGTCAGCCTCCCACCAGTTGGGATTTTAACAAGTTTCTGTTCAATTTACAATATATTTGTTTGCTTATTTCAGTGTCCCTAATTAGCACAGTGCTGCTAAACACGTTGACAGTTAAATATTTAGTGATTTGTTGAATGTTTTGTTTTTTTTATTCTTTTGAAGGTGGAAGTCAAACCGTCTGCAGAAGTGGCTGCAGAAAGTGAAGAAGACTCAGAGGAGAGTGAGGAAAGTGAAGAGGACACTGATTCAGATGACGAGGAGGAAGAGAGTGACAGTGACGAGGAGTCTGATGACGAGGACACCAAAACAGAAACTGTGTGGGAAAGAATTGAGGTATGATCACCGTGACATGATATGCTGCCAATTAGCACAGAAAACCCTTGAGAGAAGATGGTGATGCGTGTTGGAAATTTGGACAAGATTCCTCAAAGAGAGGTGTTCGTCAAAATCCAGTTTATAGGGCATGGCCTTAATTTAGTAAATATATAGTTCACTAAGTGAACAACAACGAGCTTAGCAGTCTGTTTCCTGTCAGCAGTCCTTCATCTGGGTGGTCAGCAGCACAGTTCTACCGTGAAGGCTCGGATATTACTTCACTGATACTTCAACTTCAACTTCAACTTCACTTTATTTTGCAC